TAGATTTACGGATACAGAATGTCTCTGTGGTATGAGCACACGGGCACTTTGGAAAAATGTTTCGAGCATCCGGAGAGTTTGGAGTGCGTGAGACGAGTGAGGTGGATGGGTGAGTTGAACTGGAAACAGTTTGCGGCTGAAGAGATAACCGAAATGCGGGGCCACCTATTGAAGTACCCGGTGGAAGTTGACCGAACAGGAAAGGTGAGGTCTTTGCCGGGCTGCGAGACTTTTCCGGACATGGGAGGGAAGATAATCGGGACGTTTATCGGCATCCAAGAGAATCTCACTATTTGATCGATAAATCGGTAATGTGTGTGTATGTGTGTGTTTGTGCAAAAGGTTCTTTCTTCTTCTTTTCTTTTCTTTACTTAAATTGGATATTATGATTCAGAATTTTGGGATCACACCCTTCATATCCTCAATTTTAGATACTCTTTTAGAGTGTGCTTGATGAATAATGATCTGTTGTGAGTTTTTGTGAGTTGTGACCATACAATTGTTTTTCTCTCTTATGTTTATTTGGTTGTAAAATGCTTAGTTCTCACATCTGCAAGTTGAGAGTAAGGATATGCCTATCGCTTCTGATTCTTTCGAATCCTCTTAACTTCATCACGAAAATCGCGAGGTATGTAAAAGTGGTGGAAGTACCAAACTACACGACAATATTAGATGAGCGGCTTCCAATATCCATTTGAGACGGCAAAAAACAAAACCTCACTGGAATATGGAACTTCACGAATCCGGGGGATTCGTAAGCTACAATCAGATTCTAGAGATTTATCGGTATATCGGTGATTGTTGTTGCTCCAAAGAGCAACGATGAGTTGATGCCAGAAAAAACTCGAATGGGAATTTCTCATTAAGTATGCATTCGAGTCGAATTGGAAGAGCTGGATGAGTTTGCCTGAGAATGATAGAGGTTTGGAGGGAGAAAGAAGTGATAGGAAAAGGAATGGATAAAAAAGTAAAAGAATTAATCAAATTTGTTGAGAGTGGGATTTGAACCCACGCCCTTTCGGACCAGAACCTTAATCTGGCGCCTTAGACCAACTCGGCCATCTCAACATTGTTGAGAGGATAGGCATCAAATTTTGAATATAAGTAAATAATATAAAAAGTTCGAATACGACGGTTTAAACAATGAAGAATGAGTCGTAGAACAATATAGAGAAGTAGCCACATGATTTTTGGAACAATCAATTAAGATTGTTTTTGTTGTATTCAATAATTTTTGTTATAAATAGACGGTTTGTTTACTTCATCAACCATAAAGGAGTCTGACTTATTGCAAAACAGCTCTCGTGTGATCCCGAAACAAAAAATAAATAAATGTTTGCATTTTTTGATAGGCAATATCGGTGGTTGAAATACGGAAAATGTATGTTGCTCAAAAAATGGAATAAATGTATGTTTTTTTGATAGTTTTACGTAAAGAGGAACCAAAGATTGGATTATTTGACCATCTTTCCAATTATGTTTTTCAGTTTAGTACAAAAACAATAAGTGATCTAAACTGCAATTACAGCAATTGTGAAACGAATTACTTTCTTCATATGGTGTTTCTTGATGACTTGGATCATATTTCACTTTTTCCTTTTGTTTCAATTATCATTCATTCATTATTTGAATTTGTCTGATAAGAATGCCAGAAGCAGTTAATACATTGAATCGTTAGCACCAACTCTTTGCCTGCAGCCGAACTTCGAAAGCAACAGCTTATCGATAAATACAATGAACTCAAGGAATACATAGATATTCTCTTGTTGCATTAAAATTGATGATAGACAACATAAAACAAGTGACTCACAATTTAAGTGGAAACATTCAGATCTTTAAATAGACATCAAACAAATGATGCCAAATTTATTAGAGAAAATTACTCACTTTCCAGTCTGACAGAAGAATATAGATATACATAGACTTAACTGAAGATATTTCAAAGCATCTTCATGCATAATTCTCCAGAACTTTCAACCACATTACTATAGATTTTCAGACATGCCAAACAAACAAGTCCCTTTTCCAGAACAATATTTAAAATAAATATTCCAGGAAAAAAAAAAAAAAGTCACACCTGCAACAAGTTCAAGTCTTTAACCATACACTTCATATACTCTGCAGGTAGAGAGAGAAAGAGAGAGACAGAGAAAGGTTACTCTTGCCACAAAACGACCCTAATCGACAAACAAACTCAAGTCCCGACTCGCCATTCTACAA